AGGGCCAAACTAACAAAATATTAAGATACTGACAGCAGGTCAACATTGAGGCTGTCCTATAAATACTCAAAATGCATCAGATGAGCATCTGTATAAAAAAAAAAAAAAAATATTCAGACTGTGCTGGATTACAATCAAAATATTCATATGAAAATCAGTGGAAATAGTAACCATCTTCATGTCAGGCATTCCTCATTTTCAGGCCACTTCACAGCGCTCCTTTAATAAGGGATTTTATTAACAAACATTTAACTCTATTGCATTTTAATTGATTGTGTTTAAAATCTTATACCAGTAATTTAAAAGCTGCTGTAAGAATTGAGACTGTTGGATGTAAGCCTTTTTTTCCCGTTTTTCTTTTAATAAGGTTCATCATTGCTATGGCTGTAGCAGCCCAAAAAATAGGAATATATTAATCCTATAAACTATAGAAATACACATAAAAATGCAGCAAGTCAGTTTAATAGACTCCACAGATGCAATTACAGCCAGATCTGTTTGCATCTTAACGATGGGGCAGTGACATCAATCAGTCCATTACCTTTGGCTTTTAAACAGTTTGCAGTGTCCTGTCAGACTTCTATGTTGGATTTGTGCTACTGTCCCCTAATTATATATATTTTTCTAAGATATTATCTTGTTCTTGTATAGTATAGCACTTCTATGTGAGAATGTAATTCATCAATCTGTCAAAACACCTCATTTTAAATAAAAACACGCAGCTTAACTCCGTAAACTCTCAATGATTGAGTATTGTGAGAACACTTATTTAATGACTTTGATTAATAACCCAATTTAAAGCATATGAATAAAAATTAAAACAATATTATGCAGAAGGTTATTCCATTAGTAAAGAAACAATCCAGCCAGCCATATTGTACATTTTTGGGCAATTTCAAAATGACAAGTTGGTATTAACGTAATGAAAAAGAGGCTGTGGAAATTCAAAGTGATTATTTTCAGTCTGGTATTCAAAAACAGCACTTTGCTCAGGCCTATCTTAATTTATAAATTGCTTCCGACACGGGGAGCTGTTGTGTAACGGCCTTACTAGATCTTGACAGTGAAATTGTACTTACCGTGGCAGTTATCAGAGGTTTGTTGGGGAACAGGTATTTTTCTAGCCTCTCTCTAACCTGTGAGGTTCTACAAGGTACAGTCCTGGGTCTTTTATTTTACTACTACAGTTTCTTTGGTAGATAGCATCATTCAATCCTTCTGACATTTTATTTCTATACTGATGACGTTCAGCTACACGCAGTGGATCTCCAAAGAATATGTACCCCTGTTAAAATGGCTATGATAAAATTTTTTTGCCTTTAATGTGACATATCTTTTAGGCAGGTCACAATGTAATAAATAAATAAAAAGCGCAATAACCTTGGTGCACACCCTTAGAAAAATGCACCTTTATGCACCTTTTGAGTCACATCATTATAAAGATATATCATATAAAGATATATCATGGCATAGTGAAAACAGTCACACATCTGTAGAAAATATAGGAACGATATATTAGAAAAACTGTTGTTGCTCCAAAATTAATTTTTGCCAAATACTGGTTGTGCTCTACATGTGACAATCAGCTATTCTCCATTTATGTCGATTGAGCAAAAGGGTTGCTGGACAAAAGCCTCTTCTTCCAAAGAAAACATCTAGCCCCCAGCTAAAATTTACTAAAAGCTTGTGGGGGAAAGTGTTGCTTTCAGTTACATCACTAAATGGAGCTGTTAAAAGCTGGAGCAGTATAAGAAAGACACTAAAAACTACTTAATATCTCTGAACTTTTTCAAAAACAACTCTGCATCACCTAAAGAATGCCATACTCACAGTGTAACATGATGGTAGTAGCATCATAACGTGGGATAAATGTTCACACGGAACTGTTTTCTCTGTCAAGGTAAATAAAATTATGAATATTTCTAAAAAATTGTCAGTTTTGACCCAAAACTTCCAGGTGTCCCTTAAGAAGGTGGAGATAAGACACTGCAGCATATGGTCCATACCAAATTAGAGAAAAGTATAAATGCATTTCTGTTATTGCGCTTAGCAGTCTGTCCCGTGTTCATCCATCTCAGTGTGGTTTGGCTCATCCACAAAACAGGACAGGTCCAGACTGAAACAAGCAATCAGGTCTGCAGAGAGAATAATTAGGGTTGACCATTCCCCCTTTCCCCCATCCAGGAATTATACAGGTCTAGGGTCAGGAAAAGGGCAGCTAAAATCTCTGCAGACCCCACACACAAACTGTTTAGGCATTTACCTTCAGGTCGGCACTACAGAGCGCTGTCTGCTAAAACCAGCCGCCACAGAGACAGTTTCTTCCCCAAGGCTGTTTGATGAACACTTCACAATCAGGGTTCCGGAACACCACCATGCATACTTGGTCTGATCTCACATTATCTTCTCTTGTAAAGTCACTGGTGTCCATATGTACATTGAAAAGATTTTTTATTTCCATGTATTTATTTTGAAAAAAATCCTTGTTTGTGTGCACAAACTTGGCAATAAAGCTGATGCTTATTACATTGCCCTGTTTAGCAGACTAGACAAATGATCTCCATCACCCCTCCAAGCTATTCAAAACACTGCTGCCAGACTTTACAGTAACAATACCCATTTTATTTGGCTCTCTTTGCTGTAAGGGGAGGAAATAATATTTTAGACTTGGTGTTTAACCCAACAGCTGGAGGCCATGTTGGCTCACTGTATGTGAATGCAAGTGCGTGTGTGACAGTGCGTCCATCTGCACGTGTGTGTTGGGAATCATTTCGCAATTGGTATGTGTCGACATGCAAAGCTCTCCGCCGCTGCTCCATCCATCCACTGGGCTTGGCAAACAGGGTGAGAGTTTCTGTTTGTATAAGCGAAAAGAAAAAAAAAACAACACCAACTCCAAGCTGTTTACATCTGGTTGCTATGAGGCATCACAGCTGTTTCTAGCGGACCCTAATGAGCCACAGCAGCTGTTAGGAACTCACACAAACAAATTCACAATAGGTGCATTTTTGTAAATTTACACATGATCGGTTAACCATGTAGATCTACACGGCACAACAAAAGCATTGCAACTGTAAGATGCCAAACTTTATAAACAGGTTTATTTTGCAAATATTTTTCAACAATATTTCTGTTTCATTAAATTTTGTAGCAACCAATTCACAACAAATGGAATCTAAAGCCCGTTTACAAGATCTGCAGGTCCAGTTCATTTCCAATTATATAGAGTCCAATCAGGTCCAGATTCAATCACTTTAATCATTTAGTCAGATTCACATTTAATTACATCCAGCTCAATTCAGTACTAATTATGGTAGAAAACAGTCAAATTTTGTCAATTATTTAAGATCACATAGGCAAAATTTATCTAAGTTGACATATTTTACTGCATCCAGTCATTCAGTTTTGCAGCAATCCCTCGTCCTGGGCAAGCATTTTCGAGTTTACTTATTTTACAAATTCATCCGGTTAGAAGACTTTAGATCAACTTTTTTGGACCCATTGGAATTTATGTTTATTTCCAGCATTTATTTCCAGTTCCCTCACTACACAGAACAAAACCTGGATGAGAAGTTGCTTCATAACTCACCATATCTTAAATATCTTAAATATTAATTCATTAATTTTCTATACCGCTTATTCCATAGTGGGTCACGGGGGAGCTGGTGCCTATCTCCAGGAGTCTGCGTGCAAGAGGCAAGGCACAACCTGGACAGATCGCCGATCCATCGCAGGGCAACACAGAGACATACAGGATAAACAACCATGCACACACTCATTTACACCTAAGGGCAGTTTAGAGAGACCAATTTACTTAACAGTCATGTTTTTGGACTATGGGAGGAAGCCAGAGTACCCAGTGAGAACCCACGCAGGCATGGGGAGAACATGCAAACTCCATGCAGAAAGACCCCTGGCCGGGAGTCGAACCATGGACCTTCTTGCTGCAAGGCAACAGTGCTACCAGCTGCGCTGCCGGGCAGCACCGTGTCTTTGTCTTATATAAAGAAGTTGAAAGTCAGATTTAAATGGGATCTACATACTTACTCCCTCAATAATCACATTTCTGTCTATTTTAGCAAAAATAAAAAAAACTATGAAAACTGTTAAAAACACACAATGAAAAAGTTCAGATATTAAAAAGCTTTTAATTTCTTCCCTATACTGGTTTCCGTAAGCAGCTGCATTTAGTGATGCAACTGAAACAGGATCTCCCTGACATAAATGTGAGCCCCACTGGATGAGCAGCAAGTTTGCCTCGAACAAAAAAATTTCACAAAAGGTAGGAATGGGCTCATCCCCTCTAAAAAAAATCCCTCTGAAATGCTACAGAAAGTGTGGGAATGACTGGACTTTTGTCTGGCTGGATGGAGTATACAGTATATATCTGCTGCTGCACACTTCCGGTCAGCTATATGAAAGAGGACTGATTCACTTTTCTTTTGCTTCCAAGACTGAAATATTCAGATGTTTGTTAATATTTCACGTAGGTGTGAGAGAGTAAGAAATAGCTGTTGTTCACAGGTGGGAAAAATTGATCCCTTATGAAAAATAATTCTAACTCTTGATCCTAACACAAGGTGAAAAGATATGCAAAAATTTTTCCAAAGTCCAAAATTGGCTGCTTTTGTTACCTAAACAGATTAAAACAAAGCGGCGCCGGTAATCAGGTTCTATTCATCCAGTACGCAATGTTTTTAATGAACAGGATGCTTTTCAGACTTTCTGAACATTTAGAAAATCAGTCAGTCAGTCATTTTCTACCGCTCATTCCATAGTGGGTCGCAGGGAAGCAGTCTATGGGCGAGAGGCGGGGTACACCCTGGACAGGTCGCCAGTCCATCGCAGGGCAACACACAAACAACCATTCATACACCTAAGGGCAATTTAGAGTGACCAATTAACCTAACAGGCATGTTTTTGGACTGTGGGAGGAAGCCGGAGTACCCAGTGAGAACCCACGCATGCACGGGGAGAACATGCAAACTCCATGCAGAAAGACCCCCGGCCGGGAATCGAACCCAGGACCTTCTCAGGACCTTCTTGCTGCAAGGCAACAGTGCTACCAACTGCGCCACCGTGCGGCCCTACTGCGCCATCGTGCAGCCCATTTAGAAAATCTTTGATTTCTTTTAAAGGTTTGAGTTTATGCAAACAAATCTGCAAACTACAGCATTGACTTTTTTACTATGCCTGAGTCGTAGCCAATAGTTATAAAAGGCATGTCTTAAAACGGTGAGTATAGTTAAGAAAATATTTCTAATGTAAAAACATATAAAAAAAATAAAGGTAACACTCAAACAACACAATATAACTCCAAGTAAATCAAACTTCTGTGAAATCAAACTGTCCTCTTAGGAAGCAACACTGATTTATACAGGTCTAGGGTCAGGAAAAGAGCTGTTAAAATCTCTGCAGACCCCACACACCCTGCACACAAACTGTTTAGAGTTCTGCCTTCAGGCCGACGCTACAGAGCGCTGTTAACTAAAACCAGCCGCCACAGAGACAGTTTCTTCCACCAGGCTGTTTCTCTGTTGAACATTCAATAGAGTACAAACAGCAGCATACAGATGTTGCAAACGCACCTTTTTATTTATTTATATATGTGTATATTTGTACATTGTAAATATGTATATTCTGTAATAGAAAAAGAAAAACCAAAGATCAAAGTGTACCGGAGTCAAATTCCTTGTTTGTATGTACAAACTTGGCAATAAAGCTGATTCTGATTCTGACTGACATCAATTTCACCTGCTGTTGTGCAAATGGAAAAGACAACAGGGGGAAATCTTTGGCGATTAGCAAAACACACTCAATAAAGGAGTGGTTCTGCAGGTGGGGACCACAGACCACTTCTCAGTACCTATGCTTTCTGGCTGATGTTTTGGTCACTTTTGAATGTTGGTGGTGCTTTCACACTCGTGGTAGCATGAGACGGACTCTACAACCCACACAAGTGGCTCAGGTAGTGCAGCTCATCCAGGATGGCACATCAATGAGAGCTGTGGCAAGAAGGTTTGCTGTGTCTGTCAGCGTAGTGTCCAGAGCCTGGAGGCGCTACCAGGAGACAGGCCAGTACACCAGGAGACGTGGAGGAGGCCGTAGGAGGGCAACAACCCAGCAGCAGGACCGCTACCTCCGCCTTTGTGCAAGGAGGAACAGGAGGAGCACTGCCAGAGCCCTGCAAAATGACATCCAGCAGGCCACAAATGTGCATGTGTCTGCACAAACGGTTAGAAACTGACTCCATGAGGATGGTATGAGGGCCCGAAGTCCACAAATGAGGGTTGTGCTCACAGCCCAACACCGTGCAGGACGCTTGGTAAATTCGCCCCTGGTGCCCTGTGCTCTTCATAGATGAAAGCACATGTGAAACACGTGACAGAGTCTGGAGACACCATGGAGAGCGATCTGCTGCCTGCAACATCCTTCAGCATGACCGGTTTTGCAGTGGGTCAGTAATGGTGTGGGGTGGCATTTCTTTGGAGGGCCGCATGGCCCTCCATGTGCTCGCCAGAGGTAGCCTGACTGCCATTAGGTACCGAGATGAGATCCTCAGACCCCTTGTGAGAATATGTTGGTGCGGTTGGCCCTGGGTTCCTCCTAATGCAGGACAATGCTAGACCTCATGTGGCTGGAGTGTGTCAGCAGTTCCTGCAAGATGAAGACATTGAAGCTATGGAATGGCCCGCCCGTTCCCCAGACCTGAATCCGATTGAGCACATCTGGGACATCATGTCTCGCTCCATCCACCAACGTCACATTGCACCACTGACTGTCCAGGAGTTGGCGGATGCTTTAGTCCAGGTCTGGGAGGAGATCCCTCAGGAGACCATCCACCGTCTCATCAGGAGCATGCCCAGGCGTTGTTGGGAGGTCATACAGGCACATGGAGGCCACACACAATACTGAGCCTCATTTTGACTTGTTTTAAGGACATTACATCAAAGTTGGATCAGCCTGTAGTGTGTTTTTCCACTTTAATTTTGTGTCTGACTCCAAATCCAGGCCTCCATTGGTTAATAAATTTGATTTCCATTGATGATTTTTGTGTGATTTTGTTGTCAGCAGAATCAACTTTGTACAGAACAAAGTATTCAATGAGAATATTTCATTCATTCAGATCTAGGATGTGATTTTTGAGCAGTGTATATATAGAGAAATTTAGTAATGAATGCCCAGTTAAGTGTCAATAACATCTTCACACCAGGGATTGAAAATTGACAAATGTCCCTTGATCGGTCTTACTTTTGATCGGCAGATCACATTTTGCCTTGCAAAAGTATTTGCGCCCCTTCTAACTTTTTTAGATTTTGTCACATTAAAACCACAAACGTCAGTGTATTTAATATATTTGTACCACCAAAAGACTTGCAGCTGTATTTGAAGTAAAAGGTGGTTCTACAAAAGTTTTGACTCTTGAGGGCTGAATGCAAGTGCAAGCCACACTTTTCAGATTTTTATTCATAAAAGAAAAATGGGAAAAATATGTATCCTTTTCATTTTTCTTCGCAATCCTGCACTACTTTGTTGCTGTCTATCATATGAAATCCCCAAAAACACAAGATATTGCACCTGTAGCATGACATAATGTCAAAAATTGTAAAAGTTTAATGAGTATGAACACTTTTTCAAGGAAGGATCAAAGGGGAAATGTTTGTGCCCCTATTAAGGAACCTAAAACACTTTTTATTCCAAGACAAAAAGATAAACACTTGTCCCACTTCACTGTTGAATTAAAGCACAGCGGTATATTTTTAAAGGAAGAAAATCCAATTAATCAGAAATCTGAAGGTTAGACCTTGGGAGAACAAAAAAAATAAACAGTCGTCTGTGTTGGCCGGTAAGACCCTGATCGGTGCAGCTCTACTTACAAGCTCTAGGCAAGTCAAACCATTTCCTTTGGCACCCAAAATATCTCCTGCCCATACATAGAATTAGTCAACTGACCTTTTGCGTTATAATTAACATAAAGCATCCCGTTACATTACCATTAATGTCAGTTTCTAAATTAACTCGGTCAAAATATCACCGCACTAATTTTGTCCCACATCAAAATGTCTTTTTCAGCTAAAAGGTCAAATAGGCAATGAAAAGTGTTTTTCGTGAACAAATTCAGCTCTTTGCACAAACATTGACATTGTGAATGCACCTTATTTGCGCCTTTACATAAACACAAACATGTAGTATTGAGATACAAATCAATACAGGAAGGCAGCAACACAACCAACTCGCACCTGCTCCGTCTTTGTTGGGAAACCCCAATGATACCACTTCCTTCCTCAGACGATACTCAGCGAGGTGTACCGACTATTACCTCAGACTGTTCTAGGCTGCAAAAAGTTTCTAAAATGAGTACAAGATGTGGACATCTTAGTTTTTTAGCCTTCAGGTGCCTCACGGCTTCAGAGCACATTAAAGTACTTTGACAAACTGAAAGCTCATTTCAAGAAACAAAATATCATGAAAAAACTCCTTTCACGAGACATCTGGTGAAAAATGAAGCTACATAATGAGTGCCATTCCTCTGCAGTTTATCAGGCACTTAACACCAACTGACTCCCGTTCCCAGCTGTGAAAATGGGTTATTTCATACTTATCGACTGTTGCACTGTTAGAAAGTCACAGCTTTCTGTAAATTGCCAAGATGTAAATTGTACTGTGACATAAATAAGTGTAGATCTTCAGACCTGTATTTAGCCATGGAGATTAATTTCTCACAGCATATGTGTGCTCACTCTGACGGTGTGAGCCACACTCCTTCAAAGACGGGATAATTTAGTTAAAACCCCTAATATCTCTTGATTCCTCTCAATGATTGACCAATTTTTTTTAAACGAAAGCGCTGTCCACACATTTACACCTCTCAGTCACATGCAAACTTTGGTTTTAATTAAAAGAATTGAGTTTTTACGAGCATTTTTTGTAGTCTGTATTAACCCTATCCTCATCAACTTGACAAAAACTTATTTAGCAGAAGCAGAGATGATGATATTGCACCTTAACTAATCCTAAACACATTCAGCACATGCCTAAAACATGTTTTTTCCTATATGCAGTTCTCAAGGGCACTAGATCTTGCTACAGTAAACCACCATTTATCATCCTCTCCACCTAACTTTATTTAAAAAGCACTTTTCAAACACAAATGTAACAGAAAGTGCTCGACAGCACAGATAAAAATGAAAAAGAATAAAATATAAATTTAGCATACATGTTGCATTACATTTTGATACAAATATGTAAGCAATAATATAAACACTTTTTTCCAGTTCTGCTCTTTATAGACCAACTCTGGGAGTATATCAAGCTGATATTAGCAGTCAGACAGCTAGCCTGCAGCTGGCTGTTTAACAGATATGCCGCAAATAGCTTGCCAACTCTAGCTTTAGTACAGCGTCACATTAAGACCGATTGTGATCATCCAAATAAAGTCCGTCTCCAAAGCCCTATTAAGCTGCTGTGACTTCGTGGTTAAACAGGTCTAAGATTGACGCTTGACATCAGTTTGGATCTATGTTTAGGACTCTTATTTTGAAAAAAAAAAAGACAGGATTCTTGAGTTAATCTGAACATGGAAGAAGCATCCGCAACTTTTAATTGTGGCAGAATTTGTTAGCCCAGTAAATTAAAAAAACAAGATGCAAGTACTGTAAGAAAGCAAAACCTTACAACGCTGTTGACTGATGAGGCTCAAGTAAGGATCTAAGTCTAAGATTCTTATTGGCGCTAAAGTAAAGTACAATTTTACTTTATTTTTATTACGAAATCTAGAACACTCATTTGATCTTCTAGTTTAAAATCTAATATATATATACTGGTGAAACCTGAACTGGACACTGACTTTGTTGATCTTAAGCCACTTTCTAACTAATTTAGTGGTTTGCTTAGGGTCCATGTTTTCGTTGTCCGATGAGCTAACCCCTCCCTCCTACTTCCCTATTTCTAAGGGGATTGCTCAATCCAGCTCTCCATCCAACGGGTCCAGGCTTCCCTAAACCTGAAAGATCTTACTAAGCAGGTTTACTGAAAGTTCTGTTTGAGCTGGTGTCGGGAAATGACTCACCTAGCCTCTAACAGCC